TTCTAAGAAGATGGAAGGGAGCCTTAGGGAGAACATTGAGAAAAGCTGGAATTTGATAAGGTTTATGCAAAAAGAAAAGTTGCCACTTCTCCACAATATTGTGAATTGGAATGAATCAATAGACCACTACATGAGTTGTCTTAATCTCCCTCAGCTGTACTAATTTGATTCCCTATTCTTCCAAGGAAGTTTCAATACACTTCTTTTGGCTCAACCATCCACCTTTTACTGCTGTCGAGCATATATGATGAGCTCAGAATCCCCCTTCTTTTTCTTACATCCAAGAGTTTTTATTGTTTGTCTTAGGTGATTTTATGTGTCAGATTATACATAAAATTATCTTATTTATGGTTCTTTGAGTTGTGGATAAGGTTCGAGCAAATGTTTGATAAGTCAAGTTAAAAAAATTTGAATTAATCGAATTAACGAATCTTATTTTATGAAATTCCTGTTCCAACGGCACATTTCTAGGTGCGTTGCACTAATTCTGAGCTAGAATCGAATATAGTTCAGTTGTTCACTTAAAATCAGTACTTATTCCGGTCTCAGTATTTTAGGGTATGTTTTCATTCCATTAACGTAATCCAAAATATAAACGGTTTAAGCACGTTGGTCAAATACTCATTAATTTTCTAACAAGCATTATACTTCGAGCCTGACCAACAATCTAATTTTAACGGGGGATGAGACGAGAATTTAAAAATTTCAGGCGACGACCGTCCCACCAACCTCCCTTATTCATCCCGAGATGATATGTCCTTGACCCTATGCCAGATAACCTAAACAAGCTCAATATGCAACCAATATCTTGTGAACAGCCGTGGTTAGGGTCAAGGAGTACCGATGGCCATGTTTATAAACATGGGTTGGTAAGATGTGGTTGAGCTTGTGATTCACAGCAATTTAAAGCACTGCCGATATCTTGTGAATGGCCATGAAAACGATTAAGCAAAAGCTGATGACCGGCGGCTTGCAGACATGCAGTACAGAAGCAAAGGGTAAAAGTGGGTTCCATTGCTCCACAACTGTTTAACCTCACGAGCCACAGAGCCCGATGGTGGGACACACTGCCAATGCATGTAAGCTCTGATAAAATCTTGTAGCTTGCCATTTCCACCATAGAAGTTGACCTAACACAACTTCCTGTTGGCTTTTATTTCTTGTGTTGCCTGTCCTGTGTCATCTTTTCCGTGCATATACACACCCTGGGGAAAAAATAAAAGTTACAGGTATCTCTCTTATTATTTGTTCGTTACAACCTTACAAGGCTAGCAGCTGAGCTAGCTAGTTGCTCCTGTGATGCTTTTATTTTATGGGGGATACTAAATTCACTGCTGTCTTTTTCCTACAGAACATGTTCGTTTCCTTTTTCTTAGTATGTCATGTAGCAATAAACATATTATAAATCGACGATATTCTAAGAAAATAAAAGAAAGAATGTCTCAATCATGACTAATCAGTTAATATTCTGTCTGTTAAGCATCATTTGCGACCCAAAAAGAAAGTTTCTTTTTCTTTTGCTGTTGCTGTGGTTAAAATAAAAGAGTCAGTCATGTTGAATTATATGAGCTTTTTGTTCTCACATGCCGACAGTTTTTTTTACATATAAAATTTGAAGAATAAAAAAATCAAAAAACAAATATGTATTTCATTCATAGTAAAAATTTAAATATAAATAGATTTGACTCGTAAAATCAGAATTTATAATGAATTACCGTCTAAGATCGAGTCTCATAACATAATATAATATAATTTTATTTAACTAAAATAATTGTGTTCAAACAATTATATATACATATATGTGATATTATTTGATTAAGACAATACAATAAAAGAGTCATTGGTTTAAGGGGTAATTATTATCTCTATAGATTTCTGGTTCGAGTACAATATCTGAAGGGATGTTTGAGTGTTCATTACCAAATGATTGAGAATCCTTCGAGTAAATATTATCTTGTAATCATCCTAAACTGACATTACTATTATACCAACACTCGACCGTTCCTTTTAATTTTCTTTCATATCGAAATATAATATTTTATGATAAATTTCTAAATTTAATAAGAATATTTCAATATGTTTCAATGTTTTTCTTCTTTTGTGTTGGGTAATCACATGGTTTGATACCAATTGGAGCACCATTCAATATTGAAGTTTGATTGGAAGAGCCAAGAGTTTTAATATATATATGGATTTTTCTATTTTTAAAGAAAAATGGGTTACCTAAAAGTAGGGGACTATTAATCTCCAATGGGACCAAGTTTTTATTGATAAGGTGAGAAAGGCAGGACATGGTCATGGGCTTTTAAGGGCACAAAGTTGTGCATTGAGGGGACCAGTTGGAGTTGGAAAATCTGGTATTTTCTTATGATTGGAAAATCAATTAAATACTTTTTTTTAATTGAAAAGAAGCCTAAAACAGTAGGCTAAGTAAATTCATTTATTATATGTAAATTATAGATTTAGAATTGTAATATTTATTCAAATAATAATGGTTAAACTTGGAACTAAGGACCAAAATATAGTAATGGATTTCATTCATACCTTAAGCATAATATGCGAACTAATTGTATAATTTTTTTAGCTTAATCACTTGTATATGATTATTGATCGACTAACTGAATTAGGTATTGTGTAGGCTCGTTTATAGGGCAACATCCAATTGGATTTTTAACGGGGTTACAGAAAGGACTGAATTTGCAAAGAAAATATTCTTTAAGGACCAATATGAACCAAAAAAAAATCTGGAAGGATCAAAGTGAAAAAGTAGTATACTTTAGGGACGGATTCATGCAGCAAGTCTATTTAATGTGTAATTTCATGCGGGAGTGGGATGGCTTTTCCTTGTGTGTCATATAGGGTCCCAGACAGCCTCGGTGACATATGTACTAGCCGTTGATTACGCTCCTAATTTGGCAAATAAATTAATCACTACATTATTGACTCAAGAAGACAAATTATTAGTTTACTACATTAAAAGAGGCTAATTGATTTCTAAAAATAATACAAAAAAATCAAATATATATTTATGTTGTTAATTATCAATATCTATTTATGGATCAATTAACTTAGATCAAGTACGGTAGAGGTTTATTATAAAGGTAATATTCTCAACTTAATTTATTTTATTCACAATGTCTGAATTGAAACATACGATATTACTTAAAGCGATCTAATGCTTCAAATCATATTAATCCAATAGTTATTTCGATAATTTTTTTTGAAATATTTTAACACAAAACATTTTATTTTGGAGTAAAAGGGCTAATAACGTTTGATTATATAATCATCTTGACCCTTATTTTTTTGAACCATTTTAACCTCCAACATTTTATTTTAGGATAAAAAGATTTATACTTTGGGTAGTTTGTTGACTAACGGTCAGGGGTGGAGCTTAGTGAGGGTCCAAAGGGGCTCCGAACCTTGTTAAAATTTATATATTCAATATAATTTTGGTCTAATAGTATTTTGATTCATGTACAAATAAATATTTAAATTTAAAAATATAAAAATTTATTAAATATTTAATCTAGTAAGGACCGAATTAAAGAAGAATGACCCCGTGTTCTCAAAATTTTTGGACTAATAACAATTTAGGTAATTATAAGTTTAAATATTACATAAATTAAGTGTTATCTTGTGAATTTGGAGTTTTATTATTATTTATAAATCTAGGGTGAATACAAGCTAATATTTATACAAAAAACTCTCAATTATTTGACAATGAACACTCATACCTCTACATGTGTAGTGCTCAAACTCGAGACCTCAAGGATAACAATAATCTCTTAATCACTAAAATTGCTTAGTTCGTGCTAAATTTTGAGTTTAAATACCTAATTATTCTTCATATTTTTTCTTAAATAATCTAATATTTCAACCACTGTCAATATTTAGTTCTGACTATGTCCCTGCTAACGATTACCATCAAGGACGGATATTTTTTTCCAAAATAAAACGTTGGAGTGGTTAAAATGCTAAAAGAAAAATAATAACAGAACTAAAGTGACTATCTAATAAAATGTTATGGTCGCTTTTTTATCATCGTGTCTATAATTTGGCCACTAATATTTGATTTTAGGGTAAAAATACTCATATTTTATAACCTCGATAGCTTTTAATAAATGATTTTTATTCATAAATATATTTTTTATCTTAAAATAAAACGTTAAAGGGTTAAAATATTAAAAAGAGTAGAACTAAAGATAATGAAGAACCGTGACAGTAAATATATCTCGAAGTGAGTTATGCCAATAAATGCATAAATGCCACGAGCGACAACTCATAGCACGACAAAGGCAGCACCATCAACAACCGGATAAAAGGCTAGAAAGCCTCCGGAGATGAAGGCAAAAGAAAGAAACCGATGGAGAGAGTGTGACCGACGGTAACGGCTGAAGAGGGGACAAAATGAGTCGGGGGAGATGGGTGGTCGGTGAAATGTATTACTATCATGTTTGAACTTTATACTTAATTTTGTTGACAATTGTTCATACTTGAAACATAAATACCATTTGACGGTAACGTCCACTCTACACCCCTTATTATTTTTTCTTTTGAATCAGTAAATATGGTATTTTAGTTTCATTCAAAAGTTCTTGAGGAGAATATACTGAGTAATGAAATTGAAAAAGATGATTTGAATTAAATTATATCCTTTAATTTAATTAATTTTGTATTTTACAGTTCGATTTTAAATGGCTATTTTTATAATTTAAATTTATTTTATTTTAAAATAAATTTCGTTTATTTTAAAGCAAACCAAATTAAAAAAAAACACAAAATAATAATTTGAATCAATTAACTAAATAAAAGTATAAAACTAATAATAATATTTTTATGAATTTAAACTAATATTATTATTTATATGATTTTACATTTACTTGTATATTTTATATATATAAAAAAGTCAGGATTATATAATGAGAGAGAATCTGGTGGGCTTTGAGCTGTGATTTAGCTGTCCTTTTGATGAATTGTTATTAGTATCTTCCTTTTCTCTCTCACACGGGCGGCTCCCAAATCCCTACTTCAGGAAGAAAAAAACACAGCCTCTTCACCATAGCCATTATCTCTCTCTCATTAAACCCCTTTTTTTTCAGATCTCAAACCGAAAAAACCACAAACAAAAGCTGAAAATTTTCTGGAGAAACCCCATTTTCAAATGTCTCTCATTTGAGATGAAGAAGAAAGCTGACAACAAGCTCCATTCTTCACCTCTCTCACTTTTCTTCTGTTTCGTCTCACTCTTCACCAGCTTCTCTTCATGTGAGCAGTCTCCCATTACCAGCCATGGCGGCCTCACGGAACAAGAAGTTGTCTACATCAAGCAACGCCAGCTTCTCTACTACAGAGACGAGTTCGGTGACATAGGGGAAGAAGCGGTCACCGTCGACCCATCGCTCGTTTTCGAAAACCCAAGGCTTAGAAACGCTTACATAGCTTTACAAGCTTGGAAGCAAGCTATAATTTCCGACCCCTATAATCTCACCGGTAATTGGGTTGGATCGAATGTATGCAACTACACCGGCGTATACTGTGCTCCGGCGCCGGATAATAACACGATCAGAACCGTCGCCGGCATTGACTTGAATCATGGGGATATCGCTGGCTACTTGCCGGAAGAGCTTGGGTTGCTTACTGATCTTGCATTGTTTCATATCAACTCAAATCGGTTCTGCGGTACTCTTCCTCGCAGGTTCAGTAACTTGACGATACTGTTCGAGCTGGATCTTAGCAACAACCGGTTCGCCGGTAAGTTCCCTAAGGTGGTTCTCCGGTTGCCGGCGCTGAAGTTCTTGGATCTGCGGTTCAATGAGTTTGAAGGAACCGTACCCAGAGAGCTTTTTGACAAAGATTTGGATGCCATTTTTATAAACCACAACCGGTTCAGATTCAGCTTACCGGACAACTTCGGCAACTCGCCGGTTTCCGTCATTGTCTTGGCGAACAACAAGTTCCACGGTTGCCTGCCGGTGAGTATCGGCAACATGAGTGGTCTTGAAGAAATTATTTTGATGAACAATGGGTTGAGATCTTGTTTGCCGAGAGAAATTGGTAGGCTTAAAAATATGACTGTGTTTGATGTTAGTTTTAATGAGTTGATGGGGCTTTTGCCGGAGGAAATTGGGGGAATGGTCAGCCTGGAGCAGCTCAATGTGGGGCATAATATGTTGTCTGGTAAGATTCCGGCGAGTATTTGTCGCTTGCCGAAGCTGGAGAACTTTACGTTTTCTTTTAATTTCTTCACTGGAGAGCCGCCGGTTTGCTTGACGTTACGCGGCTTTGATGACCGGAGGAATTGCTTGCCGGCGAGACCTTTGCAGAGAGGTGCGGCGCAATGTAAGTCTTTCTTGTCTAGGTCAGTGCATTGTAGTTCGTTTAGATGTGCTCCTTTTGGTCCTTCCCCACCTTCCCCGCCGGTTGTTGTAACTTCACCGCCACCTCCTCTTGTGGTTGTAACATCACCGCCGCCACCTCTACCAATTTACACTCCACCATCCCCGCTACCTCCTCCACCCATTTACATTCCTCAATCCCCACCACCACCATCTCCTCCACTACCCGTTTATCCTCCACCGCCACCTGTTTACTCTCAACCTCCCCCGCCTCCACCGATTTACTCACCTCCACCACCACCACCTGTATACTCTCCCCCTCCCCCTCCCCCTCCCCCATCACCACCGCCACCGATATATTTATCTTCCCCACCACCGCCCTCACCTCCACCTCCTTCATCCCCACCACCACCACCTGTATACTCTCCCCCTCTCCCTCCCCCATCACCACCGCCACCGATATATTTACCTTCCCCGCCACCGCCCTCACCTCCTCTTTCATCCCCACCACCTCCTCCACCACCAATTTATCCGTCACCTCCACCACCATCACCTCCTCCACCTACTCCAACATATTGTGTGAGGTCCCCACCACCTCCGCCGCCCAATTCACCTCTTCCGCCACCTCCATTGTTTTCCCCGCCGCCGGCAGCCCCTTATTACTATAGCTCCCCACCGCCACCTCCACCGCATTCTCCACCACCACATTCACCTCCACCACCAATTTATCCATACTTATCTCCACCGCCGCCACCACCTCCCGTTTATTCCCCTCCTCCAATTCACTCTCCACCACCACCCTCACCTCCATGTATAGAACCACCTCCACCACCACCATGTGTAGAGTACTCTCCACCACCACCATCACCACCTCCACCAATATATTACAAGCCGCCCCCATCACCCTCACCTCCTCCACCACCAGTTCATTACCATTCTCCTTCACCGCCAATTATTTACGAAAGCCCGCCCCCACCTTTATCACCCCCACCAGCTCCAGTATATGAAGGGCCATTGCCACCGGTAATCGGAGTGCCATACGCTTCACCTCCGCCACCACCTTTCTATTGATTCTTTTGAGAATTTTCCTCCTTGGAAGGTATTCAGAAAAAAAAAAGGAAAAATCCAGCACTTTATATCAACTATGGGATCGAACTTTCCATTGAAGAAGGATAAAAAGCCAAGAAAAAATATTTAATTGAGAATTGCTATGGATATTTAGTGTCTGTGAAATAAAGAAAATGGCAGAGAGATTAGGTTGCAGAGAAAGTTGTATGTATAGTGGTGAATTTCAGAACACCATCAATTATCTATCTCCAGTCTTACACCATGAATTAGCTGCTGCTGCTACTGTTTTGTGGTTTTTTTTTTAATTGTTTACTATCATATTTTTGTTTCTTTTTTATTTCTTGTATTTTGATGATTTCCCAGAATTCTAGTTGTTTGAGTTTGCTTCTTCGTTCCTTAATGATAAAAATGAATAATTATGAAATAAAAGTGACAATACAAGTAGTTCACCCTTTCGAGATTCTCCATTGTAGACTCCCAAGTGATTTCATATAGCATTGAGATCCTCAAGTGGGACCTGAAACTTGAAATGGGACAATTCCCATTCAGCTTTCCTTACCTTAATTGATGGTAGATTCAATACATTTATCATTTGATTAATGTTTGTTGGGATTTAGTCCCATGTGCAACACTCCAATGGTGATGGCTGCCTTAGGAATTCAAACCACATTTCACCTTGTTTTTGCCCCTTGAAATCTGGGTTTTCAAAATTTTAAACTCCATGGATGGCAAATGCCGTTGAATCTTGTCATTGTTCTTCCACTTTTTCTTATCAGGATTTTCCAGGAAAATTTTCAGGCTTCCCCACTTTGGTGTTCATTTTTTTTTATCCATATATCAATTTCTTTTCTGAATTTATTTTGTGTATTCTACTTCGAGCAATTTTATTTTGTGTTTTTTTGTTGTTGAAAAATTCACTTTTAATTAAGATGGCATACAAACAATATGAAGGATATATATATATAGAATGTGACCACTTTTGCATTTTGAAGCTTGGGGTTTAATCTCAAAATAATAATCACTAAAATATACTAAATGATTATTTGATTTTTAAAAGTATAAAATAAATATTAAATTTATCAAATATAAAAAATTTATTTAAAAATTCAAATTAATAATTATCCAACTTTTATAATTATTATAACATATAATTCAATGAATTTTAATATATTTTATCCTATAATAAAAATAAATCAAATTTGCATTTGGATGAATTGATTCCAAGTATATCCCCACCAAAAGAAAGAAGGGCCCCTTAGGAAAAGTATATCACATGGGCTGTTAGACCTTTGCACATAGAAACATAATGTAAAGATTTTTTTTTTAATAATATAAGGTAATTATATGATAATATTTATTAAGAAACTTTCTTAATTATTGACATCATACATTTTGAATACGCAATCTTTTGAACCCGAGATTTTTAGGAAAAACGACACTTCTTTGAACAACCGAGACCATTTAATGAGTTTATAATGTAAAAAACTTTAATACCAAAAATGAATTTTGTTTTTATTTTCTTCACCTAAAATATGGGACATAACTACATTTAATTAGGAGTGGGGTGTCTTGGCCAGGCTGTAATTAGGTCACAAACATTCATGGCACATTATAAGATTTTGAAAATGGATCCCACGGCCATCAGCACATGAAAATTGAATTTGGGGTCACCAACTAACTGATAGAAACCATAGAGTGAAATTACCAGTGTGTTTGTCATCATCTTCATTAATATAAACAGCTCAATCCATTGATAATGACTTCCTAATGGTTCTGCCATTAGTGGTACTACACGAAAACGAACACATAAGACATGTTTTAAGTCTATTTGAACCCACTATCTCTAATCGATATCAGATGAACTAGTTCTCGATCAACAATTAATAAAATAACTTTAAAATCTAACAATATGGGATATAACAAGGAGATGATACCTGTTTGAGCCTATAGGTTCATTGAGCAAGAAGATGATATTTTCCTGTTGAAGCTCCAATTCTGACCAACGCTGCTATTTTCTTCTTTGCTGGAGTACTTAATAGAGTTTTCGGAGGCTTCAAAGGGAACTCTAAAGGATAGGGGTTTCAAAGTTCACTTGAATGGAAGATACTTTTGGAGGCGACAACAGAACTTATGCAAAGGATATGACAACAAAAGGGTTGATTACGGAGATGATCTTATAAAATAATTCGAATTCGAATTGATAACTGAATTTATTGCGGCCTTCAAAAGCAAACTCCTTAAGATAGATTAGTCATCTTATCGATGCAAGAGAACGTTAGACGTTTATTTTTCAAGATATGACTATAAGCCCTTGCCAAGTCATCGACATGTACCAATGGGGTGTTTATAAGATTACTATATGGACACTGCTCCCCTGCACAAATCATTTAGCTTCACCGTCTTAACGCATGTCACTTATTCAAAGACTATACAAAGAATTGATTTGAGTGAGGTCATTGTTGCAGCTTGTACCTAAGACCAGAGCCAACGTTGAGCGCGTCGAATCGAAGACTTTGGGGCGTATGAAAGGGCCGCAACTCTAGCCAAATTGAAGAGCCGCCCTTTCCGGCAAAGTCTTGGAGATGGTACACGACCATTGGTTCGGGTGTTGTCTTTCTCTAACCAAATCCACATTGGTTCAGAAACTATCATCCATCATCTCTGCATCTTAGTCGTTGAAGATAACAGCATCCAGAACCAAACAAGGGAATATAACTCAAATTTCAGAATTTTAAAAAGTACGACTTAATCTGTAACTTTGTGCATAGTGCAAGGACTAATTACAAAATTTGACCGTTATAAAAATCATTTTTTTAAAAATAAATTTGAGATATAGATTTAAGATAAATCAAGACAATATCTATCAATGACTCTCAACCCTTTGATAATGAGATACTCATATTCTTATATCCGCATTACTTGAACTCAATATCTCAAAAAGTTACAAAAAAATCCCTTGACCACGTTTGATCATGTCATCGTAAAAACTATCAACAAAGAGAGATGGGGTATGGGGATTCCTTTTCCCTGCACAGATTCGACGGGAGTGTGACTGATTTTTCAAAATTCTAATAAATACATGGACTAAATCCAAAACCTATGCATAGTATGAGGACTCAAAACAAAATTTGACCACCATAGAAACCATAAATGCAAATCGACAAGGAGCATGGGGTTACCTTTCCCCTGCAAAATAATCTCAATATTCAATAATATATATATTACATTGAAAAGTTACAAATTGTGACTACAAAATCATACAACAATGGGGGAAAGAAATGATGAAATTCTATAGGGCACACACAGATCACTCGATCGAATATAAAATAAAATAAAATAAATGATCCCCGCAAGCTTTAACTGCGGCACCGTTGCTAGATATGAGCTCGATGTCCTCGGTTACTGTTGATCTCTTCTCTGTTATGAGCGTCAAACTAATTATCTATGGCCAAATATGGAAATCGCATCCTTGAACCCGGAAACAAACAATTTTAGAAGAATTTATAAAGGCTTGGATGAATTGAACTGAAACCAAAACTTTCCACCCATAGATTTTAACGGGGCAGCGAGAGGATGCTTAACCCGATGTCTGGGTCCGGGATGCTTTTCTTGTTCTTTTATATTCACCCGAATGGGTTGCCCCCAACAGCAGGGAAAGGCTGTGGGGTAGCTGGTGCTGGAAATCTGCCGGCCACCTGTTGATCAGTATTTACAAAACCAAAAGATGCTTCGTTGCCGATGCCACCAATTTGATGGCTGCAAAGCACAGAATAATTCATGGATTAGGAATATGACTAATTTTTACCAGATGGCACTCGGGAACTTGAGGCACAGCCAGTAAACCAGATCAAAGCCACAACATGAAACAGAAGAAAATTTTAAACATAAATGGTCATCGCATTGGCTTGAACAGTGAAATCAGGAAACATTTAAACCAACACGGGACATGTGCATGCAGAAACACGAGCAAAGACAAGAGAAGGCGATGACAAAATGAATACCAGCATCCATGAAATTCCAAGTACTTTAGCATTTCTCACTCAATCCCCTTGATGGTTAAAAGTTAATCTCTAAAATGATAAGGAATGAATTACCTGGAAGGTGGCAAGTTATTAGGTAATTGTGCTCCGAGGTGAGGTCCTGTAAGTTATCGAAAAACTAAGTATATCAAAGGAAAAAACAAAAACGAAGGGGGAATTAAAAAGCCTTACGTTGTGGCACAGATGATGCATAAGGGAGTGAAGGCAATTGCATCCCTGATGCATAAGGTAAAGATTGAGGTGACATCCGTGTCGATGATGGAGTACCGAGGCTAGAAGTACGCATTGGGCCAGAAGGAGGTGGCACATTTGGTAAAGCACCTTGTAAGGAAGCCATTGAAGGGAACTGCACCAGAAGCAAAAATGTATGAAGATTGTAAAACACTATATAGCACAAGTCCAGGATAAGTTCAAGACGAAATGGCTTTGCATTCGAATTTCAAAAGGAGAGTAGGTTGGGAAGCGGCTATCAGATAAAATCATCATGCACCGAAATTAACAACCAAAATTGCACTTGATAGGTATTTTCATCATCAAGATTGCCAAATATAAGATCCAATTAAGGCATTTATGATCTACAAAATCAAATAAACATCCAAGTTCCCGCACAGGCTCAGCCAAAACAGTCAACCTTAGCATAAAGAAATAATTTGAATTCTACAAAAATGCAGAAGACAAGCTTGCCAGCATCACAATCCTTAAACCCCAAAAGACCAAGACAGTTATTGGCCAGAAGTGATGAAATAGTTCCAAAGATGTGAATAACATACTGTTTGTGCTTGAACTGGAGGTGCTTCGCTGCCAAGATCAAATGGGTTCATTGATCTTGATGACTGTGGAAATGAAGACATTGGCTGCAACAAAAACAAAATGCATGTAGAACTATAAGTGATACATCAAGTAACTAAGAATGCACTTCAGAAAAATGAATTCGTAAACTAAATTGTACTTAAGACATAGCTGTACCACTCCAGTATTATATTGCATTGGGAACCCCATTCCATATGATGCGCCAGTTTGCCACGCTGGTCCAGCAGCAGGATAGGAAGGATAGGTTAAAGTAAATAGATCCTGCAAAAGCCAAGAAGATAACACAATAAGAATTCCTCACAAGAGAAAAACAAAGTCCCCTTTGTCTGAAAAAAGATATTACCGCCGGTAGTTCCTTTCTTCCACTTTCTTTTGTTTCTGTAGGAAGAAGCTGTGATGCAACAGTAGAGGTGGCATCATGGGTGGGTTTTGAAACAGCTTGAGGCATTTGTGCAACTGATGCACTCAAAGTCCCCAGCATATTCTGGGAAGGAGCAAAATTCTGCGGCTGACAAAAAGGTGCAACATGAAGTTAGGCGAACAAAGAGTTGATTATCTATAATATGCCACAATAAAAGAAGCTAGAAAATACTTCCCACCTGATTAGCTGAAGTTCCACCGACAGGTGGATTAAATTGTTGGGTGATAGACTGACCACCAGCTGCAGAGAAAAATGATGTCTGTTGCTGCTGCTTATTAGGCCACTGTCCAGCATTATAAACACCGACCTGGGAACTGCTGCTGCCGACAGGCATTGTAGGTGTTAATCTAGGGGCAGCTGTCAAAGCACCAGTAGGAAGCAGCGTTGAGAAGTTGCTAACTGGTGCAGCTGCAGGAGCGACACTTCCAAAGGGTAATGTTTGGATCTGCCCTGTGAATGCAATATTGGAGTTACCACCAAGAGGTGCTCCATTCACATTGGTCACAGGAGCAGGTACTTGTCCACTGACACTGCTATAAGTTCCTGATTGATCACCAGGTGCAGATGGTGGAACAGACAATTGAGAAAGAACAGAGTCCAGGGTGTTCACATTTGAAGGAGCCTGAGAAGCAAAATCAAAAGATGCCCAGTTCTGGTCATTGGTAGAACTCGTGGGCTGTAGAATGGTTTGGGTCACAGTTGTTTGTTGTGTCTGAGTAACTGCAGAAGCTACTGGAGGTTCAGGATCAGCATCAAAATCAATTAAGCTCCCAGTCATCTCCAACTTAACTTCTGCTGGATTCCCATTGGTAGATCCCAAGCTGCTAGAAGATGCAGTTCTCTGCAAAGTAATAGTACAGCAAGTCTGTTTGTGTTCTCTTTATCATCACAAAAATTGAGCAAAAATAAAGAGGAAAAAAGAATTGATGATTCTTGGGGGAAAGTTGGACAGCAATAAAATTTCATTTATTAATATTCACATAATAAATGGGGGGAGAGAGTTCCAAAAGAATCAAATCACAAACAAGTTTATTTAGCTTCTGGGTATACATTATCATGATTAACAACATAAAGTGATCGTGCAACAAAGAACCAAGGTGTTTTAATCAAATTCACCATAACTCAGAATAACTTTGAAATTATCATTATTAGAGGCATGGAATATCAATGAGTACGGCTATAATAGAGCCACTCCTACACGTGCCACATTGGGGTCTCAATAAAAAGGTCAAAGTAACGAAAATCAGAGAGACAAGATGGCAGTCCATCATGATAAGGGCTACCAAATCCAACTAAGAGTATGAGAGGAATACTCCAAGTAAACTTGCAGAAAGGAGAAAAAGTAAATTTAAAAAGGAATAGAAACTGTGCCCAGTGGTTAGTTGTGGTTATTGGCACCACAAGAACTAAAGGCTTTCCAAAAGAAATTAAAAGTACATAACTCTAAGACATAAATTGTTTCTAAGTGGGAGGGGAATGAAAAGCTTATCTTTTTGAAGGACCTGAACAGCACAAAGAACAAATAGAAGGTTTGTGAACATTGCAATTAAACCAAAATAAAACTGTCTATAAAACATGAAACTATTTGTACAAATACTAAGCAGAAACTACCTGCGTCTGAGGGCCATCAATAGTTCTACTGCCATTTGCTTTTGGAGGCTCACTTATACGAAGAGGCATTACATTTTCACCCAAAATTTCTCTAACAGAACGAGCCACTGGGGGACTGGATGACTCTAAATCTTTTGGTCGCTCAGGTGACCTACCTTCCAACTTCAGTTCTCCATCAGATACTCTATGATCTTCAGGTTTCCTCCCATTACCAAATCTATCCTCCCTGCGCCAGTCATTGACAAGTTCATGACGAGCAGGACTTTTCCGGTAATCACTATATTGTTGACTTCCTTGATCATATCCAGGACTTCGCCTTTCATCATGACCATATCTCAAATATCTGTCATCATTTCTTCCTCCTGGACTGGACGTTTCACTGAAACGGCCTTCATATGGTGGACTTCTGGACCCTCCCCTATATCCATCTGCCCTATTCTCATGTATGTCTTCCTTGTCACCCTGCATAGTGAAAAGTCAAAAAATATAACACAAGGTGCTTGGCTCTTTCCAAGAAGCAGCTGGTCCGGGTCCTCCTTCCTTAATGGAGCTCAAGGCAATCAAGCAGAGTTTAATCTTCTATAATTCCTTTCGATGGTACTATAAGGAACGGTTAATTATTGAAAGTGATAGCAAGTTGTCTGTGGAGTGGGTTAAGAATATAGATAAATGTCCAGTGCTGTTTGTTACTATTGTTAAGGATATTGTTGATAGGTTAAGAGTTCAGGAGAGTCTTATTCGTTGGGTAGCTAGGACAGCCAATATAGAGGCTGATGGTTCGGGTATTGGCTAAGTAAGGGAGTTTCAGCTTGGGTGGTTCTTTCTCTTTGTTTTTCGGGCTTTCAGTTGTAAGGGGGTTATTCTTGGAACTAGTCTACTCTTTGTAATACTTTTTAATCAATAATATTTGAGGCACTCTTTTTCTCCTTCCGCTGATTAAAGAATTCCACTTGGCGTTCCGTTAATCATGAAGGGGGGTTTTAACGAGGCTTCCTCTTCTTATAAAAAAAATATAACACAACACTCTTCTGTAGAATAGAGCCAAAACAAAAACAATCCTGTTGAAGATTCAATAGTATAAAAATTCCCACCTAGAGAAGCAGGAACCCTAACATATAATTTCATCGCATATCATATCTCAATTCTCAAACTTCAATGAAAAATGGGAAGAGGATGTATCTTACCATCTTTCCTCTTGGAGGCTTGTCATAGTTTTTCCCACCACTAAATCTTCTATCCTCGTAGACATGCTTAATGAAGTCACGAAGCCTTTCAACATTACTGACAACAGAAATTTTAACTCAGAAACATGGTAATCAACAAAAACAGAACCAAAAGATTGTATTTTTGAGTGATAACCTGCTGTCAGGAACAGAATTACGTTGTGGATCCCATTCTTTAAAATAGATTTCTTTTGCACGCTGCAAATAAGAGAAAGAACAAGCCATAATGACAATTTTGAACATTAGAATGAAAAGTAAACAATATAAATGAAAGAAATCTTTCCCTTTTACTCTTTATCAAGAGAGGGAGAGAGAAGGTTTATCTTTACCTGATTTCCCCCTTCTTGAAGAGCAGCAACCTCTTGAGAAGTGAATTTAGCCATAGATACTGATTTAACTCTGTGCGTGAACTCCCGACTGGAAACAATTAAAACCAGTAGCCAGTTTTAGAAAATCTACTGACATCTGACTAAGGCAGTCTCTTAGATATAAGCTAATCAGCAGCCGATATGTTAAGAAAACTCAACGTGCCAACCAAGTTGAACACTTACTGTATTCCACTGCACATGGTGCAAACAAACGTCCAGAAACTTGTGCAAACATATTGAGGCCCCTGTTCAGTTAACAATTAGCAAATAGCAACACTATGACAAAGAAAGTATAAGCACTCCAAAATTTACACATACAAATAAAAATCACATTCAGTTAAGCATAAGGAAAAGCTGCAAAAACATATTTCAACAGAAAAATTACCAGAAGCAACATTTCAGGAGGATATTCAAACAAATATTTATGGAACAATTAAAACTTCCCAAAAGGTTTAATAGTAAAGATTCCAAAACTATGAAAACTTAAATCAGGTCTTCTGTTTGTGAAAAATCGAATACTCAAAACACATACAGCCTATCTCACCAGACATGATCTTAGCAAGCCCTGCTTATTTTCCATTTTTTAAAAAATCAATGGTTAATCTTCCATTAATGCAGGGATATAAATATAGGAGCACCAATAATACACCATAAAAAAATGGACCACAAGCATTATTGATTTCACCAACATCACTGTCTCAAACACACAATCAATTCAAAGTCTACGTATATCAGCAAACATATCTATAAATAAAACTGAACCATTTACTTGATGAACAAATCCCAGAGTTATATTCCGTCAATCTATACCAGGATACAACAGCACACTAATCAAGTCCGCAATCATAGTTTCAAAACATAAACAAGAAAACCATACCAAACTGTTGCAGTTAATACATCTACGGTTCTCCGGTTGTTTGAGAAGACCCCGAATAATTCGCTCATTTTTCTCATCTTCCTTCACTCGACTCGCCATTGCTAGCTCACTAGATGAAAATAAGCAAAGGCAAAACTAGAAATTAACAAAAAAAAAAAAATGAAAGAAGTCAGTAAGCATGAATTTTCTCCAAATCGTCGTTAATCACAAGCAGACACAAAAAAAAAATCAAATCCAATTAAGTCCAAATGTGATTATTCAACGCTATTAACATTCCCATAAAAATCGACTAAAAATATCTTCACTTCGCTAAATGAAGCAATCTAAACTACAAACCTTCATTTTTTCCGCTTACTAAGCCACCATTTAGCTGCTAAATCGCTAATATACAAAACATAAAAAGGAACCCAACTAACCAGAGAATCAGATCTGAACATTTAAACGCACTATAACACCAGAAAACATCACAAATAGAATAAAAAGGAATATGTTTGGAACTCTAGAAAAGTAGACCGAGAAAAGTAAAGGAAATGAAAGAACTCACCGGGAATCAAAGAGAAAAATGAATTGTTCCAAACTTTTTTTGCGCGTAGATTCTTTTAATCAATGAAATCCGATCCAACGTCTACAGTATTACGTTTATGTAAAGTAACAGATCAATAAAACTGGATTCAATATATAATATATATTATAGATATCCGAAAAGGAGGAGGGCAGCTTCGCTAATCGCTACAGCTAAGAACTAGCCAAAAGTAATAAAATAAAAGGCTACTTTACTGCTTTATATATACATAAATATATTTCAGTAAGAGATAATTTCGGGGCTAGGGCGAGAGAGAAATTCTGGTTTCTTCAAAAATTCCTTCCTGTTTTCAAATTTTACAAAAGACGAAATGAAAAGTTTTGTCGGTGTCCGGTTGCAGGCAAATGGATAATTAATATCAAATTAAAAGTAATTTGCACACATTAATTGAATTATTATTAATTCTAAAAATAAAATATTTTCTTTTTTTCTCTATAAGAAATGTCAGCATATGGATAAGTAAATATTGAATTCTAAACTTTATTTATTTATTCAAAGTTTATTGGTATAAGAGGTCAAATTTTATAAACATAGTAAGATTAATATTTTATAATATATATTAAAATAATGTATTAATTAATTCATAAAGAGGTATTTGTAAACTCATTGACCATAGTATCTGAAATTTGAATTATGTTTTTTTTTTCTCTAGTCTTTTATTTCAATATTAAATTTTAAACGTTGGACAATGGAGACTTCTAGAATGTGAGAAATAGAAAAATGTGTGGATTTTTCTCTCTTTTTTCATATTTGGTTGGCACTAAGGTGTTCGAACTATTCATTTGAAGCTGAATTTTCTCGAAATCATACGCCCAAGCAAGTTTAAGACTCTCAAAAAGTCCCCGGAGTTTAGTTGAGATCACTGTGGTTGAGCCGAGATTCTTGTTGACCCCTAAAAGGAAGTTCCCATGGCGGTCACGGAAAACGTCATCACTTGTTGTAGAACCTGACGCCCTAGCAGTTCCACCAATGTTAAATTGTTAATGTAAATCCAATCTTGAGGAGCTAGAGCCCATTGAATTTCAATAACGCCATGAGTTTAAGATGGTAATTTTACTAGAATTATATGAATTTTGATTTAATTTAATAAATTTTACAAATATAGAATTATATAGAATTTAAATTTAAGTTTAAGGTGAATATTTTTTTATTATGAGTTAATATTATATTTTCCTCTATATATTTAAAAATAGTGTTTATAATAAACTTTTTTTTTAAAATATTTTTAATTAATTTATATTTTATTAAATAAAAAATAGATACTTTTTATATTTATATCAAATCAGATTAAGTCGAGTGTAAATTTTTACTTAAATTTAAAATGAACTTGACATCAAATAATATTTCCATAAATATAAATTAAATTAAATTTTAAACGAAGAATATGTTTTCATAATCGAAGCGAGTGTGTGAAAAACTGAACCCGACTTATGATATCCTTCATCTTAGTTCGGTGGGAGCTCTAGGAGGAAGCAATGGTAAAGCAACAACAATGGTGCTTTTTGGTTGAACTGCATCCTGTTCCGATTTTCGATCCATCGCCTTCAAAGCGTTTCGGGCACGAACATTTTATAATCCCGTGGCGAGTTATAATATGTCGTGTCGTATCGTCGTATATCTGAATTTTCAGCGATGGAGACTCGTAGAAGTATAGGAGTATTATTCAGTAAAGACAGAATGACCTTTCCCATATGTGTGGTAAATAGCTCATTGATTATACGTAGACCGATAACATCACTGGTTTCGTTGTCTTCTCCGGGAAAAAATATATGCGAACCACTAGGAAAAAAAACTTGTACTTTCATGTTTGCCAAACGAATCATTTTCCACCATATGATTTTTGGCTTTGCTGGTTTGCTGCTTCTGTCATTTAGCACACAGAAGTCTACAAAAAAAATTGGGGAGAGTGTGTAGGACCAGAACTAAAGAAAATCCATTTACTTTTGTTTCCTTGACAAAGTCATTAGATTAATCAATCAAAGATCCTTTGTTCTCTTTGTAACAAGAAAAAAATGACTTAGACGAGTCCTACTTGGTGGAACTCAGCTGTTACCCACAGGCTTCAAGCCCATGTTCTGTGCCTTACTTTTTGTGCGCGTGTGTACATGTCTATATCTATTTATCTATGTATCTATCTATATATATAAATATGTCTGTTTCGGATAATATTTGTATCTAACATCTGAGTCCAGGTGACATAGGAAAGTGAACTTTCGTGTTTTTGGCTGAACTTTGAGTATAAACGGATTGGCTAGTATAGCTCAACTTGTATAAAGCATGACTTGAGCATTTTCAATTGAAGAATTGCCTCCATTGACACATAGAAAACCATATTTACTCCCTTTCATATTGTATAAAGCGTGTCTTGATTCGGGTGTACGAATCTGGAAGCATTATGCTAACCTTGGGGAGGAAATCGTTTCTAAGATAGTAGTTCTTCCACGACACGATAAATCGTTCTATATTTACTTTTAATTTTATTACCATGCCTTACTGTTTGTTTTGCAGCAGTATTTTTATCAACAATGGACTCCGATTCTATCCAGAGTCAAGCCGGATTGAACCTCTAAACCGGAGGAGGACAAAGATCTCTCGACTTGGACACCGAACTCTTTACAACTCGACTCAATAAGTGTTGGTCCAGTCAGTTTTACCATGCAGATAAGATGGTACATTAAACAGGTGAGACTTTAACAAGTTGAATAGTAAGCTGCAATAAATAGAAGAATTTAAAGAAAAAACATGTTCTAGAGTTTGATTCCAAACAGTAGCCTTTTATTGAATAAAGGTTATGTAGTCCTATGGCATTTAAGAAGACGGTTGAATATCATAGGGCATTAAGCAACGTTAGGTACCGTCTTTTTAATGTGCAAAACTACTTGTTTTGTTTTAGGGATATGCATCTAAACTATCACTTGTATTCCGTTTTAGTACCTAAATTTCATCTTTTTTCATAATCATATCTAATGTTTAGTTTAGGTTTCAATTTAGATTTCACTGATAAAAATTTAGTGGCAACAGTGATGTGGAATTGTTTTCCCTTTCTCGATATTTCACGTGTCTTGTAATGTAAATTCCACATCATCGGTGCCGTTAAATTTTTAACGATCGGATACCAAATTAAAACATAAACTAAACGTTAGGTATGATATTGAAAAAAAATATAGATACTAAAACGGAACAAAAGTAGCAATTTAGGCATTAAATGTGTAGTTTACCCTTTATTTATTTATTTAGTTACTGACCTTTTGGCTTTAAATATTTGTCCATTTTCCATAATAAATGCTTTCTCTTTAAAGCAGAGATATCCAATGAACCCTTTGGTAGTTGCAAAAGGGCAATTTGCTTTTGCTATGTGGGCTCCAATCCAGGACTTTGTTTAAGCGTGTGAATTAGAGAGTTAACTGTATCACACATTTTAAAATTATATTTTTTTAATTTAGTCTTTAATTTTTTGAATATTTTAATTTCATTCTTAAATTATGATTTTCATTCTAAATTAGTCATCAAATTTTTGAATATTTTAATTTCATCATCAAATTATTACTCCCATTCTAAATTTGTCTTTAAACTTTTGAATTTCCAATTTCTTCCGAATATGTAATTAGTTTTAAATGTAATTTAACCTAAGTTTCATTTTTTCAAACTTATAATAATATAGCTTTTGCCTAATGGTTTTATTAACGGGGAATGTGATTAGCATTTACCAATAGTTTGTAATAAAATTAAAATGTTTAAAAGTTTGAGGATTAATTTTGAATGAGAACCATAATTAGAATATGGAATTAGATTTTTCAAAAATTGATGACTAATTTAGAATGAAAATCATAGTTTAAGATGAAATTATAATATTTAAAAATTTAAGAATCATTTTAAAATGAAAATCATAATTTAAAAATATTTTAAACTAAAATAGTATTTATTAATTTTAAAATGATACTATTTATTAATATTTATTAATAGAATGCAATTAATTTTAAATTAAAACAATATTTATTAATTGATCCAATTGAACAATATTTACTAATTGATCCAATTGAACAATATTTACTAATTGATCCAATTGAACAATATTTACTAATTGATCCAATTGAACAATATTTACTAATTGATCCAATTGGTTGTGGCTCTTGTTTGACATATAGACTGTGCAAAGCATGCGAATGTTGATAGCGATACGTGAGGTGGTCTATGATTCATGAAGAATTGTACAATGATATGAAAAGACTTGTCTCATTACTACACCTAGATTTTTTTCTAAAAAGATATATATATTTATATATATATATATATACACACATATATATACATAACCGGCTCTGAGTATTTTTTGGCCCATGACAAAATAAAAGAAATAGACCCCTATTTATGTTCTTTATTTTTTTGGTCTGGGGCGAAATAAAAGAAATATGCCCCTAATTATGCAAAATCTTGTAGTTCTAAATTAATAGTCACTACGAAAATCTATATATATATATATATATATAAAGTAAAATAATTTATATTTGACACATGAGAATAGAGTTAGGATTCCAACTCAAAGGAACACGGTATAATTAATCATAGAAAATGAGAGAGTAAAGTATAATTAATAATAAAAAACGATGGTGCAAAATCAAAATAAACTAAAATTAATAACTCTAATTTAATATTTATTTGTATGTTTCTTAATAATAGAAAAAATAGGGGCATCCCTGGAAACATTGATCGTGTATGAAAACTACACAAATAATGGAATCAAATGAAGTAAATTGTCTATGATTTTAAATAACCTTTTTATAAATTATTCACGAATTAAATTAAATTGATTCACTTTTTAAGTGCTTATAATAAATTTCTTATGATTAGGCCTACATCTCTCATATTTTTAAGAGATACTCTAAATAATTGATTTTTATTTAACCGGCGGTGACATCAATTTTAATATTGATTGTCGGTCGTCGTTGATTATTATTTTTCTTGTTCTTTTTAATACTATATCCTTTGATTTTTTTTCTTGAGTTTTACCAATTTTAAATAAGAATATATGTCCTAATGACGCTTTTTTGTTTTGTTATTGTGACACGTTTTTTCTTTAATCTTGTGG